GTGGTGGTTTAACTTGAGGGTCACCTCAGGCAAGAGGGGCTGAAACAATTGAGAAGGAGAGTCCTTCACGGTAACCCCAGCTGGTTAAAAGAATCAAACCCATGTTGTTGGTGCCTCTCTGTGTTCCAGACCAGCCATCCAGCCAACTGAGCTAACCAACCACCCAGCTGCTAATGGACCGCATAAGGGAACTAAAGCATTTCTCAGGGCAGCATGCGATGGACTTTCAGAACATTGGTGGAGGTTTGGAGCAATCCTTACTCCTGCAGATTGTGCTCAGTTGCCACTAATGCAGTGAGCATTTCACACTGTGGTTATTAATGTTGAAGGAGAATTTCCTTGAAAAGATTAAGAGGTCCTAAAACACATTGAGCTGCTGACTGAGACAGCATTTCCCCAAGGGTACTGCAAGATGTGTGAACTCTATTCCATCGTTTGCTGGCATCTAGAGGCCATCGCTGGAAGGGAATTAGTGTTGCACAATGTCCTAAAAAGACAGTAAGTCAGAAAATGAAAGACTCTTTTGTTTGATGTCAGTTGCAGGAGTTTTGCTTGGCGGGATTTTTAGGATGGTAACAACATTGACAGACTAAAGATAGTCAGACATAACTTCTAGATAAGAAAGTCAGGGCTTATTAATCTGGTAGAACTTTTACAGAGATCACCAAGTTGATGAATAAAGGTAACCCAGTCAGCATTGTATATTTTTACTGCAAACAAAAAGTACTGGAGATCACAGCGGGTCAGGCAGCATCTGTGGAGAGAGAGCAAGGTAACATTTCGAGGCTAGACTCGAAACATTAGCTTGCTTTCTCTCCATGGACGCTGCCTGAACCCCTGTGATCTCCAGCATTTTTTGCTTTCAGTACAGATTCCAGCATCTGCAGGGATTTGCTCCTACCTTGTATATTTTTACTGTCGAATGCTTTCAATAAGATACGTACCTCACAATAGATTGCCATATCATAGAGAGTGCTGTGGGAGTGATGGGCAGGTCTTGTGTTGGAATTGGGGGTCACATCCTCATTGGATTGTTACTGTTCAGGATTTTTATTAGTAACGTGGACATTGGTGACAAGCACCTTACAATCTGAGATAGTAGGAACTGCTGATGCTGGAGAATCTGAGATAACAAGGTGAAGAGCTGGATGAACACAGCAGGCCAAGCAGCATCAGAGGAGCAGGAAGGCTGACGTTTCGGGCCTAGACCCTTACAATCTGCACTGGTTTCAGAAGCCTTCCTGAAAAGAAAAGATCACAACCTGAGCTAGATACGATGGGGAAATGAGCCCACATCAGGTGAATCACATTTAATATTGATAAATAGAGCATGGTGCACATTGGTAGGGCTAGTGCCAAGCATATATGTATGTCGTGCTGGATTTGAATGTAATAGTGTATTGATCTCTGAAGGCTCATGATCAGTGATAAGAGCCTATAGAGAAAACAAACCGTGTGTTAGGCTGTAAGTAAAAGACAAAACCTTAGCAACCCTGAACAATGCCTTGGTTGGGCCCCATTTAAAATACTGTGTCCAGTTTTGGCCCCTTACATAGTGGGAGCTATACAGGCCCTAGTAGTGGCTAAGCTAAGAACACTTAGCTATTATAATAGGTTGAGGAGCTGGGCCTATATACCCTTAGGGCTTTGGACAAACTTGGTTATATGTTTAAAATGATAAAGGGGCACGTGAACAAATGATTGAAATTGCATACATTTTGATATGAAGTAGATAAGTTGAAGAGAAACCACATAAGCCATAGAACCAGGTTCAATGACGGGAGGATTTTCTTTGCTCTGAAACTCAAAGAACATTGCATTTGGTTGTCAGCTAATCCAGGTGGGTGATTTTTTTATTTGATGCTCATTTGTAGTATTGATTTAAAACAGAGCTCAGGCTTTTCCTGGAGCTGGCTGAGGTCGCTAATTTGTTGCTCAGTGGATTGCGTGGTCATTGCAATTTCCTGGAACTCGCCTTGCTTCGGGAAAGGAATTTCCCGGGATTTTCCTCTTCTCCCGAAATTGGCGGAGGGCTTTTTTAAAGTCACTCTTCTGAGGTGCGGCAGAGAAACAGCGCATCTCCCAGGGTTTGCAATGACTTGCATAGATTTTACCCATTCCTTGTCCCATATTCAATGGGAGGAAATAGGTCATTATAGTATGACTGGATAATCAGGGGGGGGGCACTGAATGGTCTCCATAGGAACACATGAATTAGGAGCAGGAGTAGGCCATTCAGCCCCTTGAGCCTGTCTACCATTCAATAAGATCATGGCTGATCTGTTTGTGACCTCAACCCCACTAACATTGACTCCCTTGTTGATCAAAACTCTATCTAACGCAGCCATGAACATATTCAACGACCCAGCTCCTATCGCTGTTTGGGGAAAAGAATTCCACAGATTAATGACCCCCTCAGAGAAAAATTCTCCTCATCCCTGTCCATCTTGCCCGTGTTTCACTGAGCTAGTGGCTGGCGTGACCCAGTATCTCGTTGGCAGAAAATTGGCAGTAAAAAGTCTCCTGTCTATTCACAAGCACTACACCCTTGACTTAATTCTTTCTGGAATCCAGGTGCAATCCTCAGTGTATTTGCATGTGACCAAATCTGATCACGCGCTGCGATATGTTCCAGGGTCACATGAGACGTACCAAAGGAAAGCTTACCAGGCCCCGATAACCTACAGGCAAACTTAGCCTCTCCCTGTAAACCCTGGAACATTGCAAGTCAGCTGAGAATCTTGCATAGAAAGAGATTAGTAAAGCATGAGCTCCTTACAATCTAGAGAGTGACCTCCCATGAGGGGAAGCTCTGTGCAGCGAAAGGCTGAAAAATAATGAGAGCTGCTCACAGGACTGGAATCTGAATGACAAAGCTGGATGTTAACAGTTATTCCGATGAGATAGTGAGCTTCCTCTGTTTCAAAATCCAAGAACAAAAGCTTGAAATACAGGACGCGTGTTTTAAACTAATTTTAAATTACTTTAGGTTTCTTTTGGCGAACGACTATCAGATAACTGTTCCACATTTTCACTGTTGTTCAGGCCTCTGGTGTTGTCTTGGTACATTCTGTTTTGCACACACGTACAAACAGATTCAAGAACAGCTTCTTCCCCACTGTTATAAAACTTTTGAATGGACCTCTTTAATGTTAATGTCGATCTCTCGCCCTGCACCTTCTCAGCAGCTGTAACACTGTATCCTGTGCTCTGTTCTGTTACCCTGATGCATCCGTCTGCCTGTAAAGCACATAAAACAACACTTTTCACTGTACCTAAGTACATGGGGCAATAATAAATCGAATCAAGTTCAATCAAAATTGTGATCTTTGTTGTTTTCTCTTGTTTCTCCAAGAAACTTGAGTATGAAGTTTGTAAGGTAGGACTTCATCTGTAGGTGATACTTAGATAGATGGGGACCAGGGTGATTTTATACAGAACCTCTGCTATTTTTTTGTCCAGTTGACTTTTGCCATTACTTTCACTGTTTGCTGGATCTACTCGCCTCAATATGGGAAGCTGCATTTAAACGAGACAATAATGTCCTGTCTCCCATTTTCTGTCACTTCTGCCTTAGTCACACTGGATCTTAATCACAGCTCAATGAAACAGCTGTACAGTCTTAAATTGGTCACTGAAACAAAAAGGAAGTACGTTGTGTTTTTTTAATAAAAGCTATTTATGAGATGTTGGCATCACTGGCTAGGCCAGCATTTATTGCCCATCCCTATTTGCCAAGGGGGCATTTTAAGAGTCAACCACATCACTGTGGGTCTGGAGTCACATGTAGGCCAAACCAGGTAAGGATTTCCTTCCCTGAAGCACATTAATGAACCAGATGGGTTTTTATAGCAATTGACAGCTCCTCAATCCAGATTTCACCATCTGCTGTAGTGGGTATTTGAATCCAAGTCCCCCAGGTTATTAGAATCATCACAGAACCCCCTACAATGTGGAAATAGGCCATTTGGCCCATCAAATCCACACCAACCCTCTGAAGGGCATCCCATCCAGACCCACACTATCCCTGTATTTCCCATGCCTGCACCTAGCCTGCACATCCCTGGACACTATGAGCAATTTAGCATGGCCAATCCACCCTAACCAGCACATCTTTTGACTGTGGGAGGAAATCCACACAGACACAGGGAGAATGTACAAACTCCGCACAGACAGTTGCCCAAGGGTGGGATCAAACCCAGGTCCCTGGCATTATGAGGCAGCGGTGCTAGCCATTGTGCCACCTTGGGAGTTCTGGAGCACTAGGCCAGTAACATTACCAACCACTGCCTTCCCAGCTAAAACAAGGTGGAGCAGGTAGTGCATCTTTACCATCTATGCCGGACTCTGCTTTTTCAATGTTTCTGCTTGCCAGCTCCCTTCGAAGTATATTGAAGTGATTTTGTAAACTGTCATCACAAAAGATGCAA